AGAAAAAAAAACTAGCCAGGCGAGGTGGTGGGCGCCTGTAGTCCCAGCTGCTCCGGAGGCTGAGGCAGGAGAATGGCGTGAACCCGGGAGGCGGAGCTTGCAGTGAGCTGAGATCCGGCCACTGCACTCCAGCCTGGGCGACAAAGCGAGACTCCGTCTCAAAAAAAAAAAAAAAAAAAAAAAAAACTAAATAAAATAACTTTAAAGAAATATATTTGAACAAATCAGAGTTATCAAGTGTGATGGTTAATATTGAGTGTCAACTTGGTTGGACTGAACGATGGAAAGTATTATTCCCAGGTGTGTCTGTGAGGGTGTTGCCAAAGGAGATTAACAGTGAACTGGGAGAATCAGACCCACTTTCAATCAGCTGCTAGCATGGCTAGGATAAAAGCAGGCAGAAGAACATGGAAAGACTAGACTGGCTAAGTCTTCTGGTCTCCATCTTTCTCCTGTGCTAGATGCTTCCTGCCCTTGAACATCAGTCTCCAAGTTCTTCAGCTTTTGGACTCTTGGACTTACACTAGTGATTTACCAGGGGCTCTTGGGTCTTTCGACACAGACTGAAGGCTGCACTATCAGCTTCCCTACTTTTGAGGGTCTGAGGACTCAGACTGGCTTCCTGGCTCCTCAGCTTGCAGATGGCGTATTGTGGAACTTCACCTTGTGATTGGGTGAGTCAATTATCCTAATAAACTCCCCTACATATATACATGTATCCTATTAGTTCTGTCCCTATACAGATTCCTGACTAATACACTAAGGAAGAGAAGGATTTAGGAACCAAGAGCCAGAAGAGAAGAAAAACCCAGCAAAGCAAAGCTGCCATCTGATGCCTCTGCTTTCCTTCTAAAGGCATCCACCTATTCCAACACAGCAGCTGACGGGCTGAGAAGATGAATAAACTTTCTGGCAATTACGCAGAGCTAAGGGTACAGAAGTTGGCATTCAGGGTCTGCCAAGTAAGAAGAGCCCTGGTATAATGCCCTGGCTTAAAGTTGAAACCTTCAAAGAGCAAAGCCTTGTGAATAAGACTTGACAAGAAATACACCAGCCATTAGGAAGCCCAGCTTTGAATTAGCCTAATATCCAATTATAGTAAAATGATGTTTCTTAACCTTAAATGCCTGCCACAACAAAATAAAATCTGCTTTTTTGGAAGGTAACAGCATTCCAGGCCTCAAATTCTAAAACCTTTTATACATAATGTTTGACATTGGAACAAGCCTAATCAGGCAAGCAAAAACACAACGAGAAATGGATCATGTCCTTTGCAGGGATGTGGAAGGAACTGGAGGCCATTATCCTTAGGAAACTAATACAAGGACAGAAAACCAAATACCGCATGTTCTCTCTTACAAGTGGGAGCTAAATGATGAGAACACATGGACACACAGAGGGGAACAACACACACTGGGGCCTTTGGAAGGGTGGAAATTGGGAGGATGGAGGGGATCAGGAAACAATAACTAATGGATTAGTGGATACTAGGTTTAATAGTTGGGTGACGAAACAATCTGCACAACAAATCCCCGTGACACACATTTACCTATGTAACAAACCTGCAAATGTACCCCTGAACTTAAAAGTTAAATAAAAATAAAATTCTTTAGGAAAAATTGATAAAACAAAAAAGAAAAAGAAAACAGAAAAAAACCCATGACAATTTTAAAAAATTCAAAACTATACTTAGATACTGGAGTTATCTGACAAAAATCAAGAAAAAATACTTTGGATTTAATTAGAAGACTGTAAGGATATTGCTAAATTTGTTGTCTTAAAAAACAATCATTTTTGAGGAAAAAAAACTTTGAAATTTGCTCTTAAAGCAAAACTCAATGAAATTTCAATAATTTCATTGTCCATTTCAATAATTCAATGAAAATGATGTTGAGGTTTTAAGAGTTGAGACCAAACTGAGAATGATTAAACAGAAACTTCATGGGAACTTTCTTCTTCTCATGATGTCATAATTGTGCAAATTTATTTATGTTTTAGATTTTTCTTGGGCACAACAAATCATGGATTTTATTCCAAAATTTCTAATAAATTGTCCTATGTAATTTACTATTTAAATTCTACATAAAATAGCAGATTCTACTTGGATTTTCACTATGTTTAATTTTTATAAGCATTATAGAATAGATTTTTTGCTAATTAAATACAACCTTTTTGAGTATAATTGACTCATATGATTATCTCTTCAGCAATTACTCCCCTAGTTCATTCATTACATACTATTAGAGTCATCATTAGACCAGGAATGAATTCTTATCATCACAATTAAATAAATTTTTTTGACCTAAGTACAAAATATAGTCCATATTACTTTTTAACTCTCGAGAAAGAAATCAATACATTGGATAATAATACAGAATGTTTTTTCAGCTTGATAAAATTTAAAGATAACTGCAGAATTAAGTAACTTAATGGAGAGACCCAAGTTCATATCAGCTAGGTCAATGTTGTGGACCACACCACGCAAAGGAAAAAAGTCTATCTTTTAAAACCACTAAGAGTTGAGTGCTTTACTGGCTGGCTGCCATTCCTCAGATGTTTTCTGTTAAATATGAATATTTCATCCATTTATCTCTCCAAATGAAATTTATCAATAGCATTTAGTTTTTTCATTTTTAGCTACAGCTGAATTAAATTTCATCCCAAATTCTTTCATGGAAGAAAGGTTAGGAAGAAGAGAAGGAGAAACCCTTGATTCCCAATTAACTCAAAACAATAGAGGTAGGTAAGTAAATAGCAAATACACTTAGTAAATTATTGCTTCAGTGTGGCATTCCTGACCTACAATTATTTATAATTTAAAAACATGAGAGTTCTCTCATAGACCATAATTAGCAGAGAAATATGCAAGGTCTCCTTAGAGAGGGTTCATAGCTCCAAAGCCGGCAGGATCTGACTATAAACTGACTCTATTAATGTACCTAAAGAAGGAATACATCCATGAAAAAGAGTCAGCTAAAGAGGTATTGAAAAAGGAGCCATTATAGGCATATTGTGGCAAAACCCAAATTAGCTAGTCCAGGAGGGTCTTGCTTGAGGACATGGAAATATGTGAACAAGAGTATCTTCATAGTGGATCAGAGCCGTCTAAGCTTTATTAGCAACATAAAGCCACTTCAAATTTGTTCTGAGGTTCAGAGAAGTTAAGTAAATTATTCTAGGTTAGTTAGTTATCTTTCAGATGTAGAGTCAGGATTCACAACCGTGAGTCTTTCAAAAAAACAACTGCCGCCAGAACTCTATGACTTTAGGCTACTGATGCTCACTTCTTTCAGCTGACTTATTATTCTTAAAATGTGAGAACAGTCAAAATGTTATAATGTTGAACCTGCTCTAAGGAAGTTTCAACATATATATGAACAAAATTCAGATGTATATCTGTTACACATACATATATAGTTGCAATGAAGCTAGGCCTTTTGCTCCTTCTCACCTAAAGATCCAAATTTTCACTGGGTAATGTTGAAAAGAGACAGAACCTTTGAAAAACAATATGAATACCTTTGAAAGCTCTTGAAGAGGCAGCAAATTTAACTGGGTGGAGTAGGTGTGGGAAGGAAGGTGTCTTAGTCCATTTGAGCTGCTATTTAAAAATAATATAACCTGTGTGTCTTATACATATCAAACATTTATTTCTCACAGGTCTGGAGCCTGGATAGTCCAAGATCAAACCACCAGGAGATTTTGTGTCTGGTGAGGGCCTGCTTCCTCATAGGGCACCTTCTTGCTGTGTCCTTACATAGTAAAAGGGGGATGGCAGCTCTCTAGGGCCTCTTTTATAAGGGCACTGATCTCATTCTGGAGGGCTCCACCTTCATGACCTAATAACCTCCCAAAGATCCCATCTCTTAATACCATTATCTTAGGGATCAGGCATTTGGCAAATGAATTTGGGGGGCACACATTCAGACCCTGGCAAAAGTGAAGGAGTGTTCCTCTCCCAACACATTCAAAAGTAATCCCCTTTAGATATCTTTCTCCCCAGAGCCCATTCATTGCAGCAGTTGTTCATTCATTCATTCAGCAAATATTTATGGGGCATTTGCTGTGATCCAGGCACTCAGGCTACATCAGTGGTTCCCTCAGTCTCTTCTGTCTTCCCCCTAAACTACATTCTACCTGTCTCTTGCCCCATTTTTTAAACAGAACTTTTCCATTTACACATGGCTTCTTACCATTTCTTATATATGCCTACTTAGTCTCTTTGTCTTCTTTAAATTCCGTTCTTTTTTGATTACCTGATGAACACAGCAAAAGGCTCTCAAGAGCCCATCAGGACAGATATGGAATTCACCTAAGAGGGTGGGTAAGCTGGAACAACTATGGAAACATAAAGTTTGTGTGTCTTGTACAAATAGTTTGCATATATTATGCTCTGCCAGATTTCCAGCACACTCCCACCCCCACTCCCATCCCCCTCCATTCTCACTCCTCTGCTTTGAAAGATGAACATATGAACAGGAAACCAAAGTTGGCAATAACTGGCTATAACAGAGCATGTTTACTTTGCAACGTGGAACTCTTTACACAGACTTCTAAAGAAAGTAAGCTTAAAAATAATCATTTGAAGATTATTGAGTTTTATGAGCTTTTGGATCATAACCAGAGGACACTTAGAGTACATGTTTAATTTTCTATAATTTTCATCAAATATTTTCTTAAGATAGTCTCATAAATCTTACTATTTAGTTTAAATTTGATTTTAGACATTCTATCTTTTTATCGAGGAGATAACTCTTTGCAAAGGTAAGTAGATATTATAGTGTTCCCCTTTTTACTCACTAAATATCTCAAGTTTTCATGTACCTGCATCTTGCCACTACCCACCTTCCTTCAACGTTCTTCTTCAGACTTTTTTTAGTAGAATTTATCAACAAGTACAATCTGTCATTATAAAAAGTTTCAGGAGAAATGTCCTTTAGATTACTTTTTGGTGGCCAAAAGCAAACCTTTCTGTGGTTATATTTCCAGAACCAACTCACCTATCAAACAGTTCTCCTCCTGTGACGAGTTCTAGGACCAGACTGATTTCTGTAGGGGTTTCAAATATCTCTTTAAGTTTTATCTACGGAAAGATATAAAAAAAGAATATCACAAATTTCTTATTCCATCTTTCTTGGAAATAGCTAACACTATGCCTAAAACAACATTCTGCAGTAGTAATATGTTGGATCACTGTTAAAGTTTCCTCATTCTTGTATCAGCTAGCTATTTCTCACTCTCTTTCTGGGTTATTGATTTCATCAGTTACCTCATTTTTTTCAAAGTTCCTATAAAATGCTTACGTTTTTCCTTTTGGCAGTTGAAAAATATCTGCCTTGGAAACACTTTCTAACTTTTCTGAAACATCCCAATTTCTGAATTGTTCAAAAATCAAAAACAAAAACAATACAACTTCCTAAACCATTTGAGGCATCATGGTGGCTGGAGGTACAAAATGCCTATTTCTTCTGGGAATTAAGAACTTAAAATTAGGGGTCTGAGGCAGGGTAGGACCAGCTTAAAATCTGCCTATATGTAAAGGATATATCAATCAATATCTAAAAAGGTGTCAGTGGGTGAAGGAATCCTCAGAAATGTAGTGGTGACAGTGAGTTGATTGAGCATACCACTGTCTTCATCACATTCAGATAATCCAGTTTTAGATATTGTCCTCCATATATACGAGAATCTAGTAACCAGGACTAGCCTACATTTGAGGAAAATTCTACATTGACTTATCTTTGGAGAGAAGAGATGGATAATGTAAAAGTGGTGATGGAGTATGGGAGATTTTATTAACTGCTTACCCAAAACCCTTTTCTTCCTACTTTAATATGAAGAGAACTTTGATTTGTTCAGAGATGGTGTCTAGCCCCAAATTGTAGATCATGAATGATCTCAGCCACTAATTTCACAGCCTCCATGCAGTTAAGGGTAATCTTGTGACTAGCTCCAGCCAATAAAATTTGAAGAGACTTTTGCTGCCACAGTTTCTGAGAAAGTTTTTACTCTTCTCATGAGAATTGGCAGCTGAGATCCTTCCATCTTTTTCCTATTTTGAATATAGACGTGACGACTTGCAAAAATTGTGGGACAGCCATGTTAGGCCCAGGAGGGAAAAGCATGAGGATAAAAGTCAACGCACTGAGGATAGCAGAACCAAGGATGGTATCTGGATGGCAGCACTGAGGAGCTGAGCCAGAAAACTGCCTGATTTTTGTTGCTTGCAACATATGGAAAATATTTGTTTAAATCATCCTATTCAAGTTTTCTGCTACTTATAGCTGAATGCTTCCCTAATTCATACATTAAATTTTAAGCACTTTGCCTTGAACCCAAGCATTGCAGGCCATCCCCTTGGACGTCACAACTTCGTCAGAGAAATGGGCAAAAATGCTTTCTTGAAGTAGATGGCTTAATTCATAAAAACAACTTACGACCTGGAAAATGATTTTGTTCTTTTTCACTTCATCAGTTCAAGAAAGCTTTTTACTAGATCTTTGCCTCAGAGGCTGTCTGGACAAAGCCTGAAGCAGAGCTTCTGAGGACATTTTATTTTCTGCATTCAAGCACATCATTTATTTGCATCTTCACATTGTTCTTGAAGCAATCCTCTCTCAAAGCAGACTGAAATGACTTTGGAGAGCAATGTATTTTCTTCACAGGCTTTTTCAGTAGTGGAAAATTAATAAGATAGGCACACAAAAGAAGGAAAAAGCCAGTGTTTTTAGAGCAAAACAAAACTATTTGATTTTTATCCTTTTATGCATGAAAATAAAGATGGTGTATATTGCTAATCTATTTTGGAACTTTTTCAGAGGTATTACTTGTAAGACTTATTCAGCCAAAGGATTGAAAATGTGATGAGATGAGGACAAGAGCTAGTACATGGTAGCTATCAGTGGTGGGAGAATCCCCTTTCCATTATCAGCATTGACAGTGAAGGACAAAGGTCCCTTTCTCTAGCTCTGGAAATCATTTCAAATAGTAGGTTAAAAACCACTTACAATGTTTGGATGTGAGAGGCGAAGAAGAACTCCTATCTCAGTTCTTACGATTTTTTTGTCCACCTAAAAGGCAAAATAAAAGAGATAAACTGAAAGAAACTCCCCCTTCATTGTAGCAGAGAAATAGAAACAGCAATAACTACCTGGGTGAATCAGAAAATTGGCAGAGCCTAATTCCTTAGCTTTTGAGTGTGTGTCTCCTTCCTCTCTTTCTTTTTCAGCTGCATATCTTTTCTCTCTGCTTCCAACATAAGACAGAGCCAAGAACTAGTATGGATCACAACTTGTCAGACTCCTTACATGGCATCTTCCCCACTTTCCTATCAAAAGTCATCACTGTCACAACTAATGCCCAAGTTAATCTCAACCTATCCTTCTTCTTTGTCTTCCTTTCTTATATGGAAGTCTGTCTAAACCCCAATGGAGCTGTCAATCACTTCACTTGTCCTTCTCACACAGATGTAGTACAAAACCCAACCTACCCAACGAGAGTATCCTGTTCCCTGGCCATTGTGATAGGGTCAGGAATATTCACCTGACCCAAGTCATCCCAGTCAGAAGCCTCTCCAAAAATTTTGCTCAAACAAATAAAGAAACAAGTATTCCATCTTTCTCCGAAATTATGAGAGCAAAAGAGGATACAGTCTGCTTCTAATAGTGAACAGTTTTGATACCATATGGAAACTACTTTATTAAAATGAGGCCAACAGAGGAAAAAAAACATTGCTAAGTTACGAAGCAAGAGGACTGTTGATATAATTTAACCCCCTAGATTCAGTTATGCTGGTTTGCCCTTTGAACTGCTAATTATATGAGTCACTACATTTCCTTTTTCTGCTTAAGTTATCCAGAGTTGGTTTTTGTTGCTTGCCATGAAAGAATCCTAGTTAGTTCACCACTTAGTCTCTATGTTTGGGACAATGGCAGTTTAGTTCAGGATATTCCAAAATTAGGGATATTCTCTCTAGCCCAATGACTGACTTCTTTAATCACAATAAGCTGGCATTTCAGGGCTCTAAAGGTTATATAGTAGACATAAAGGTTTTCATGTCTTCCTCTCCAACAAAATTTATCAAAACAATTGATAGCTATAATACCTGAACTCTTACTATGGTTTCTGCCATTTGAGCTGTCCTGAACCTTTGAAGTAGCAAGAGTTTACATGGTTTTAGAAATGAAGAAGTTTATGTGCAATTCACAGCCAAACTCTGTAGGCATATCCAAGAGACTGCTTCAAATGGGAAATGGGTTCTCCCCTTTCAGTTACTTCTCCTGAGGAAGAAAAGGTTGTCCTCAGGAGAAATCCAAGTGCATGTCAATGGTGATAACCAATCACAACTTTCAAGATGATAAAGAACAACATCCAGTTATTTAATATTCATTCTTTAATGAAAACAGTAACCAACAAGCATGCAATCTTTAAAAATAAAAAAGGAATGAATACTCAAAAGAATTTTTCAAACGTTTTATGTTCTTTTTCTTGGTTGCAACATATACATATATTTCACATTTCTTTTTTCTGGCAAATACAATTTTGCCAGACACTAGAGTACCTCATTTAAAGAAAGCAGTCACCATTTATAAATGCCTTCAGGTTTTATGAGATGAAAAAATGTTTACAAGGAGATCTTAAGGAGTTCCCAGCCCAGTGAGAGATTTCTCAAGAGTTCATTTCACCCATATATACAATAAAACATTAAATAGCCATATAGTCATGGTAAGGCCTCTTAAACTGCAATAAAAGTTTCGGTTATTCATACAGGCAATCAAGAGGCTCAGAATGTTTTAATATATTCTTGCTAAAGAAAGTCAAGCTATTAAAATCAATTTGCAATACTATAAAACAAAAATGTATTTTACTTTTGTTGTTTGGATGCCAGTCTGTGCAATCCAGCATACTTCTTAAAATATTTATAAACATCCCACATAAAAATGCAACATCAGCTATAAATTCTTAGAGGAGGGAATGAATATATGATCTGTACATTTTAATATCTGACAGTTAATATGAGGCCATTACATAAGAGGGAAGACTCACTGTGAATAGAGAAAAGAAAGTTGGTAAGAAATAACCTAACTCAAGTAACTGTACATCAAATTGATAGGTTCTGGTGCTTTAGAAGCAAAGGAGTAAAGGAAGAAACACATCTTGATACATTCGGTGCTCTCTAACCCAAGAACTTTGGAGGCCGTTTCAGCAGTCTTCCACGGACACTAAACATAGCTACTCTGCATGATTCAGACTATGTATTGACCAAAGCTCTTTCAGTTGCAAGTAACAAACACTCAGCTTAAACTCACATAGTAAGTCCCAAATGGTAATTTATTGGCACATGTAACTGGGATGTCAGAGTAGATCTATCTGCAGACATAACCAAATTAAGAGGTTCTGACTCAAATAACCTCTCTCTCCCCTGTGCATGTTTGTGTCTCTGTCTATATCTCTCCTTTCCAAATGGCATGAAACATGGCCACAGAAGCTCCAAGTCTGTATTTCTAAGATAAGAGAGATGCCGTCTCTCAACATCTATCTAATCTCAAATGGTATTCTCATTAGCCTTGCTTGATTTATATGCCTATTCCTGGATGTAGGAGACATGTAACCATGACAAGGCCAAGAATGGGTCATAAGCGCTCTCCTTTGACCATGGTTGAGGGAGATGGGAGGCTTGGTTCCCTCAAAGAAAGAATGTTGTCAGACACTGAGGACTCCCTTATTGCTTGCTTGTAGTAGTTGCTCCCTTCATTTTACATTTACCTAAGATCCTGAAGTATTACTCTCTCAGTTTCTTCCATGTCCCAGACTAATCAATCAATAACATAATTATTCATTCATAAGAACTCTTGCCATCAGTTTATTTCATATTCAAAGTTTTGACCACTTACCAGTAACCCAAATGGGCCCTACCAAATAGCAATTTAGAATTTTGCCTAGAAACTCTTTTGAATCCATACTGAAAGCTGATGTAGGAGCAATCACTTAACTGGTGAAAAACCTAGCAGGCTGCCTAGTTTTGTACCTCGATTCTGCTGTTTTCTCTACTTCTGGGCAGCAATCTTGTCAATTGTTTTGATGTCACTGGTGATATAATTTGAAGGAAAGTAAAGAAGTCTAAGAAAATGATGGCTCTAGCTAATATGAATGGTTTGAATAGAAACTGGGATAAATAATTTACTAACATCTATGTGCTTGTGAGGCAGAAGAGAATCATAACTTCCACCATACTGTCAAAACTTCTAAATCAGAGAATATTAAATAGATAAAATTTAAAAACCAAAAAATGTGTTTTATTTAACTGGAAATTTTAGAATGTCTGAGTACTTTATTTAGTTTCTATGTAATGAATGTACAGTACACAGTAAGGGTAGGTCTAAAATAGGTTTTATGCACTCAGCCCCATGTTAAATAATTGGGTCACAGGAAAAAACAAATGAAATATGGTCCTTCCTAAAGTAAGATTACAATCTAATTTGGGAGATGCAACTGATCTACACAATGTTAACAGAAGATAGTGAAAGATGGAAGAATGCAAGTTACAAATGAATTTTGTTTTAAAAGTTCCATTTTTCAGTGGAAGACAGCTTTTCTGAGTCAATTGCTGCCAATATTCAAACAGTGGGCTTATTCTAAAAGACTTTTGACATTACCAGTCCTTTTAAAAATCACACTGTTGTTAATACAAAATGGAGAATGTTTTGCTAGAATGTGCACCAGGTACATGGAAGTAGTGTAAGATGTGGGTTGCTGATAGCCAGTCAGTGGGTATAGGCAGCCTAGTCATGGGGTATAGACAGCATGGTCCAGGAGGTAGTAGAATGGCAGCACAAGGCTCTAAAAGTTCTTTCATTTAGTGAAAAAAATACATTTTGTAAAAATTATCTAGCAAGAGACAAACACTTATACCAAATGACGAATGAGAGATCTTTGAAAAAGAGAGGCGTTACTAGAACAGTCAGATGGCATTGTCATCTTCTATTTCAGTTTCTGCAGATGCTATTACAACATATGGATACAGATTTTTTTTTTTTTTTTTTTTTTTAAAGATGGATTCTTGATCTATTGCCAGGCTGGAGTGCAATGGCGTGATCTCGGCTCACTGCAACCTCCGCCTCCCAAGTTCAAGCGATTCTCCTGCCTCAGCCTCCTGAGTAGTTGGGACTATAGTCATGCACCACCACGCCCAGGAAATTTTTGTATTTTTAATAGAGACAGGGTTTCACCATGTTGGCCAGGATGGTCTCTATCTCTTGACCTCGTGATCCACCCATGCTGGCCTCCCAAAGTGCTGGGATCACCATCTTCTCTTCAGGTCAACAAGGATTTCCTTGCTAATACCAAATAAATGTATTTGTCACTATTGCACAATGCTTTAAAGAAAATTTTAAGGACACAAGTGTTCCTCAATTAAGACTGTTATACTAGAATTTATTTTTCTCACTATATATTTGGGTTTTTGTAATATAGGTTTCTTCCACTCCCACCCCCGCCATTTTTCAGGTATTTCTGATCAATGTAAAATGAGATAGTAGAATCCTTTAATTTTTTCACATTATATATTTATATTAAACAAATATTTTCTAATACAAATACGCATTCTGAACAAATTTACCTATTACCATGTTGTATAGGGCATATTACATATTAAAATGCTATTTCTTTTTAGTTCTTTGAGAGTTAAATGATCTAAAGTTCAATAATCTAAACTCAAAAAATACTCAGAACAGGCCAGATTGCAAAAAGTCTGGGCTAGCAAACTTCTGTTAAAATCATTTGCTTTTAATTCAGAATTAATTTTTCTATAAAAACATTTTTTAAAAAGGTAATTATTTTCCCATGATACTCTATATCATCATTCTCAATTTAAAATATGGTCTCAGGGTGACTCCAGGTTCTTGAGACCCTTTCAGGGTATATGTAGGGTTCTCCCTTTTCCAGTTGCGTATCTGAATAAGGTCAGACTGTTTCCACATACAGTCAGCCCTCCATATCTGTGGGTTCAGCATCTTCAACTCAACTAACCATGGATGGAAAATAATTGGGAAATAAATCCCAACAACAATAA